TACTTTCCAAAATAAGAAAATTATGAAAATTCAAGAAGTGATGTGGATCATTTTTTGTTACCTCACTCACTCGGCGTCTAATTGCTGCCTCGAGGCACTTGATGACCTTCTCTTTCTCTGCCTCTGTCTCCAGAGTACAACCGTCCATGTGACGTATGTAATATTCCTAAACGTTCGAAAAACAACCTCAATAATAGAAACTAAACACAATATAGCAGAGTATGGAAGCAATCAAGATAAACTTAAACTTCAAAGATATTCAGTCTCTTGTTAGTTGTTACTAATATGAGATATCAATCAAGATAAACTTAAACTTCAAAGATATTTAGTCTCTTGTTACTAATATGAGATATCAACCCTTCCCAACTAAACAATTCCATTTAGAGAAATGCAAATTATTCCAATCAATCCACTTTTCATTTTCCATTTTCTCAAATAATAATAATAAAAAAAAAGCAGGTGAGGTACCTGTGAGGCGTAGGGCCCGTCAGACGAGATAGTTGCATGGAAAACAACATACTGCATATCCGTAAGCGTGCAAACTATATCGAACATCAGTTTTGACCGATCCTTGCACCTCACTGTCACCACCGAGTAATCCTTCTCCGCGCACCTCTCGATCGTCACCTTCGGCCGAACCAAGCAACCCCGCGTGGCGTCCATCTCCACATCATCATCATCCCCTTCGTAATCCCTAACAGCAAAGAAAAGCTGGTGTAGCCTCCTGTCGACATGCGTGGACCCCACAGAGAGGCTCGTTCGCGCCACGTCATCGTCAGCCCCTCGCAAGATGTTGCGCAGCTGCTCCTCAGCCGCAGCTAGGTTGGAATCCTCGTCACCAACGTAGAGTACACAGGCTATTCGGTGATTGTGAGTCCAAACCTCGGCTGCCACAACGTTTATGTGAAGGCCGGCAAGCACTGCCGAGATTTCCGAGAGGAGGCCTGGCCGGTCACGGCCGATGAGCTCGATGGCTGTTTGACGGTGTTCGCCAGAGGGTTTTGCTCCGACCCGTTTTCCGGGAAGGGCCTTCAGAACACCGGCTGTGGTTCCTTTGGGTCCTAAGGCCTGTGTGATTCGAAGGAAATCAAGAAATGTGGCGAAGACAATTCCGAATCCGCTTTGTCTACGAAGAAGGAAGCTTTTTTTTTTTTTCCCATTTTTAGGTTTGGGGAATTTTCGAAGAACCCAAAGGTGTAATTATGGTGGCTTTAGCTCGAAAGGTGGGGTCTTTTCGAAACTTNCTTCTCAATGTGATCAATTGTTCTGCTGTCGGCTACCTTCTGCCCTTGTTGATCGGTGACATGAAATACTGTCGACGAAAAAGAAACAGAGATCATAAGCTAAAAAAACACCTCCCATTCAAGGAAAGATGTACTAAAAGAAGCTAAGTATTAATACTTCAGATTTTTTCAAGCAAAACTGAGAAAGTGAATTCTCATTGTTTTTGTTTTTCCGGAGCTTTGTGTTGGAACAGGAATTAAAAAGAAAAGCACAAATGTATACCATCCATAAACCACCCGCCATCTGAGGAGATGTAGGCTTTAGTAATTATAAGGTCAAGGTCAGTAAGAATTTGGACAACCTCGAGCAGTATTCCTGGCTTGTTCATGCTGTCGACCTGAGTGAAAAAAAAATGAAACGTTTGATCTTGTTACTGTGTTAAATATGTAGAATTATGTCACACGGTTTCAATTTTTGATACTGCTTAATTGGTCAAGATTTATTTTTTTCTTGCTATTCTGATTTTAAGCTACTTTAGATTACGCCGCCAATAAATCACTTATTCTAAAAGAGGAATATTTTTGGCGATTCGAGTAATGTGGTCAAAATCCAGTTTACTTCTCCCACTGGTAGATGCATTCACATGTTGATTAACAGTTATGTATAATTTGATAAAAAATAGCAAAAGCATGAGTTGGGTCTTTTCCTAAAGGGCAGTAAAGTTATGTAGAGGATTACCTTGACTAAAGTACAGTCTTTGCAACTAGAGTTGTCGACAGAAACCCTGAAACAGATTAACAGATAATTAAAAACAGCAGACAAACCTGAATCATTAACATGATTGAGTCGACAGATTCAAATAATCCATTTTTTTTAGTATAACAAATCAAAGAAAAAGGCAAAGGTTTTGAAAAAACTGAACTGCGGAGGATTCATTCTGATGCTTAACGTCTCATACTCGGGATCAAAGTAAGCCCACGAAGCCATTTTCTGAAATCTGCAAAAGAGTAAAATGGAAGACTTCAGTGTTTTTTTTTTATCCAAGAAGTCCTTCAGCCTTCAATGTCAGTCAGAAAAGAAAAAATTGAGAATAAAAGAGCTTTTCATAAAAACATTTTTAAGATCTTACAATAGTACTGTGTCTGCTTACATACTTAAATTGTAAATTTTCTTACAAAAAACCATGAGTGCACGTCGAAAGAAGTGAAAGAACAATTTTATTGATTACTAAAGAAACAAAAGATACCTACCTTTTAATGAGGAAAGTATTAAGAACTTCTCGTGGTCAGTGGGCAGTCCTTTCCCGCTGCAGCACGCTTTATACGAACAGACACTTACATTTTTGGTAAAAGTAACTCAACCTGCAGAAAATGGAATACTAGTTTACAACCTGAGAATCCATAGCACCCACCAAAATTGGATAATAAACATGCAACAGTCAAATTTTGAGACAGAACAGCACGAAAGTCATGTGTTGCACTACATCGAAACATAGAGCCAGCCAAATATGGAGAAACTCATTTCTATCGACTGTGGTCAAATTTTAGATGAATCTGAGCCCAATCAAAAGAAATAAGTTTAGAGACACTGTCTACTGCCTAAGAATCAACCTCGAGAATGTCACACTTCAACTGTTATACTTGCATATGTCAACTCAAAACACGGGCAGTGAATTTCAAATTGGAATATATATGAACAAGCTTGAATACAATTATTCAAGCATTATGTTTAAAAAAATCCAAGCTTGATAAGAATTGGTTGAAACTATAACCATATTAACTCTTATTCATATGTTATACCACACAGTATCTCCCCCCACCATTTTGTACCATTGCAATACGTTATACGTGATTAATTGGTCGTCTACATCGAAAATCATTCACAGCAGCAGCACCTCATCACAGAAATTACAAGTAAATCAACAAATTCGTGGTCAAATCACATATATGCCCACCTTTATTTGTTTTTACAAGCCAAATCAAGAAAGAAAAACAGGGGCACTAGCCAAAGATAGGAACAGCAAAAGTCAAAATGGAAAATCAAGAAGACAAGTACACAGATACAAAAGAATTAATAAATGGTAACGACAATTAATGCACATAACTCGCGAGAGTTGCCAAAAGAAAAGCTTGCAAATCCTTAAAAAAAAAATGGTCCTTTAACCTATCACNAAAGTTCAGCGCTTTCAGTTACAAATCACAAAATTAGCAAAACCCACTAAACAAAAAACGCGAATTCGGGGAATAGCCATGACCCAACAACAAACTCACCAAAAAGGAAGAAGCTAACCAATCAATTGACTAAGAAAATGAAGAAAAACAAACAAAAATTCTATGGTACTGCTGAAATTACATCAGTAAAAACAAAATCGACCAATTACTCGCACAAGACGAGCTGGCAAATTTTCACCCACCTTCTCCCAAACTCCGAAAGCAGCTCACCGGTGGGGTTTTTCTTTTTTTTTTCGAAGTAGTCCACAGTTTTTGCTTCACACAAATATGACGTGCGATTGGGTGTATATGAAAATCGGAGAGCACTAAACCCCACTATTGTTAAGAACTCCTACTTTCTCTCTCTACACATTATTGTGCGGTAGAGAGAGATGGAATTTGCAAATGGTGATTAATAGAAAAAGAGGTGGAGAAGAAGATAGTGCATGGATGAATAATTTGGAGGCGCGAGTTGAAGAGAATAATTGGGAGGCACGAAGTGAAGAGAGAGAGAGAGAAATAGGTGAGTGGAGCATTTTTTATTTATTTTTTATTTATGTGAGTATATAATTTATTTATTTTATAATTTAACGTATATTTAAAAGATGAATATAGTATTTAATCCAATTCATGTATGAGCGATTCATTTTGTTCAATAACTCCAATCGGACTACTGTACATGAATTGTAAAGTTGACAGCTATAATCAGCTCATGGTAGCTTGTACTTTATGGTTGAACATAAATGATTGCTTGTTATATTTTCTGATTAAATAATTGGATTAAACTTAATTTATAAATATAGATATAACTAATAGTTAAATCTCAAAAATAAGAACAACTATACAAAAAATAAAATTGTCATCGTGAAATTAAACAAAACTTTTCAAAAATTATATGCATATGCACAAAGTATACGAACCATATTTTTATTTTTATTTTTATTTTTTAATTAAAGAATATTTATATAACTAATAAAGATGAAAATATTTATTCTTTTTTCATGTAGCAACAGCCCGAGCTGATAAAAAAAATAATAAAAATTCAGATGAGGAGAATTAATTAATAATTTCCCTTAATATGCTTTATTAATCACCTCATTTGTACTAATCTAATGACGCCGACCGAACAGTGGATTCTTACGTAGTAATTACATGTCGCTCCCACGCTCTCAAGTGGCGCGTGAAGTTCACGGACGGTCTTGGTTACTCTATGAAAATTGCAAATTACATTGTGACCCAACCTTTTTCTGGATTTTCGGATTGTGGTCCGGTGCGATGGGGCTTCTTTTTCCCCCTTTCATTTCAACATAGAAATTGACCCAACATAAAATATCATGTGCATTATGTAAATTTTGTATAGACAAGTTAGGGAAAATTCGATATTGTGGGTAGTGATTTATCGGGTTTTCTATCGTTGAATTGTCACACTTAAATTTTGTATAGATAAGTTAGGGAAAATTCGATAGTGTGAGTAGTGCTTTATCGGGTTTTTAATCGTTGAATTGTCACACACTTAAGTGTGCATTAATATGTATGTGCGATTCAAGAGTACAAAATAAAACTCGATAAAAGCAGTGTCGAATTTTTCGATTCAATATGTTCGACTAATATCCTCCTATCATTATTTTCAACTCATTACATAAAAGGAATTTTAGCTAGTGTTATGAATCATGTTGGTCTTGTGTTCTACCTGAACAATGTCACATTGAATTCATTTCAGCAGGACACTTTTTTCAATATAGTTTTTTTTTTAAAATGTGTTCGTTATTAATTTTTAAAAAAAGTGGTCGGAAAGTTGGATGAAATTGATATAAATAAAGTGTTACTAACTCATATATATGATCGGTTTTGCTATGAAGCCAACAGTTGGCTCCATAGTGGAGTCAACCTTCTATATACAACAAATAAACCTACCATATTAATAAAATTATATTAATGTTATTTAAGTAATCAGAGAATATGGTAGGTTTATTTGTTGTATATAGAAAGTTGGCTCTATTATGGAACCAACTGTTGGCTTTATAGCAAAATCGTATATATGATATAGATTCTCATATGTTAGCTTATCAGATATAAACTATTAGCTTCTAAGGCTAGTACAAATTACAACGTCCACACTTTTTTTAGTCTAAAAATGTAAATAAAATTGAGGGATGAAATAATATTTTTACTCATATTAAGAGTGGAAATGTACATTATTATGAAATAAAATGTCTCATAATATATTAACAAATAGATTTTGTGGCAATGTGCGATTTATGAGCAGGAAGCTATCGCTTTCCTATATATGAAGTTTTGTCTACTGATGGAAAATGATTGGTAAAACTAAAATATACCTTGATTTCAGTAAAAACATCAATTTCAAAATTACTGTTCTCATGCATCATTAAGGAAAAAAAAAACAAAAAAACCAACATTGGCGGTTGCCCCTTGTTACGATCCGGGTTTAGCAAGGTCTCAAACTTGACTTAGTTCATTAAAATAATATAAAAATTATGGTAAATTTAATTGTTTGTAAATTGGTTGACCGTTTCTATGTAGTATATTAATTGGCAGTTTGCAGTTAAAATAAATTATCTAATTAAACAAATTGCTACAAAACATGTATGTAATACAAACCAATGCTAATAAGAAAACCATTTGTTGGCTTTTTCATAATTATTGAAAAGCTCATTTGATATATTCTTATTGATGTAAATATGAATGATTATGTACATGTGTTATCATCAAACTTTCCATGATTGATTTGAACCATTAGAAAATAGAATCGAAGTGGGGAAACTAAATAAAATGAGTAAATTAACCAATTTTACTATTAATATAGGTTTTGGCTTTATCTATTTGGGGACAACTATCCATCAAGATATGATAAACACCATAAATTCCAACTCCAACTCAACATATGGTGTGTGACTGCAGTCTAATTACTAAGTTAATCGACATGTTATATTTTTTTAACAAAAATACATACTTATATTATAGAATGTCATGCTATGGATTCGCTAAAAATTAGTGCAACAAAGAATGATAGTATATTTAATTAGATAATTATAAAAATGACATCATACACAATTTATATATACTTTTTGCATAACTTATTTTCATTTTTACATTAGGATGATCGTCATACATATATATATATGAATCTCAAAGATCAATTGTATAAGATGCAAAGCACACAACTAATATGGGCTAGCTCCAACTCAACTACTCTTCATTATTATAATTTTGGGATTCTTTGAAAAAAAAAAAAATGAAAAGAAAAGGGAATTAATGTTCTTTGGAGTATAATAAGATTATGCTTTTAATGACTTGTCGTTATCACACTCTCTGTCACCTTATGAAAATCAACATTTAATTCTCATGTGCTTCTTCAAATTGGAATAAAAATAAGACACGCTTTTATATGTTAGCATCATTGAATGTATTATTATTAATAACCCCTTTTTAAGTGGTACTAGTGTGTACCCCATGCGATGCACGGGAATAATATTAAATGAACAATATTATAAATAGACCTCGAGTATGAGTCACTCAATGGCGGAAGTGGAAACTACTATTAATCATATTTAAAAAGAGAAAGAAAAAAAAATAATTATAGATTAAAGAGAAGGATAAACAATACTTAATAATTATAAATTAAAGATTCAGGGTCAAACAATGTAAAATTATTTTGTATAAGAGAATATAAGAAAGTTTGATTACACACCATTTCAAAATTATTATTATATTTTTTGTATGGTTAGCTTATAATATTTGTAAAAATATTAATAATTAGACCGATGAAAATTAGCTTCTTAAAGTAGATAATAGATTTCTAGTAGTAATTATGAATTGGTATCTATTTTATTTTATTTTTTCTTTTTAAAGATAATAGATTTCTAGTAGTAATTATGAATTGGTTCTATTTTATTTTATTTTTTCAAATCTGTATAAATAATGGATGAGATTTTTTAAACACGTGAGACGTATGCAATGAGATTTTGTAACAGAAGAGATAAATTTGTGTAGATTTATACTAAAAATAGTAAAAAAACAAATATTTATTGTCAAGCAATAAGATTTTGTAACAGAAGAGACAAGCTCGTGTAGATTTATACTAAAAATAGGAAAAAAAAAATAAATATTTATTGTCAAACAAATGTTTTGATAAACTAAAAAACAGGAAAAAGAGAAACAAATCTTTACACAATTAATGAACCGATTTTTTTGTCTATTCAGATTTGTCCAACAATTACTATATATAGGATATATTTAATGATTTTGGCGGGAAAAAGTTTCTAAATTTGTAAAAAAGTTATTCTTTTTATATAATGATAGATATTTTACATTTATTGTACTTCTCAACATTTAAATAAAAATTATAATAAATATGGAATATTGTTTGCATATCTATCATAAGGTATAACAAGACGTGTCTATCAGCTGCGCTCTAGATTTTATATATTTAGTTTCGACACTGCACGTTAATTAAGACGTGCCCACAATGCACTTGTCATGAATTCGTGTTCACGGGAAGCAGAACAACAAGATTGATTATAAACAGCAATCTAATTGAAATTGAGACTACATATATACTTTTTAAAAACTATTGAGATGTACTTCGAATCCTTCTTGAATCATAGTAATTTTTTAAAATTTATATGTTTAGTGATAATCAAATGCTAGATTTCAATGAATAGACTGTACTTAATTGATGAAAAATACCATTTGCAATTAATATATGCATCTAATTTCAACAAATTTTACTGATTGAACTAACATGTAACAACTTCAAATTAAGTTGAGCAAATATTCTGTGCACCTGAATTGGAGACTGAAAAAAAAAATGAAAAAAAAATGAAAAAAACGTATTTCTTTCACTTTTGTATGCTATAATTGGTTGAGATGTTGTGGATTGTGTTGAAATCCATTGTACATTGCTATATGCATCATGCATTCTGGTTTAGTTTGAAAAAGATTAAAATATTTTGTTTCTTTTTATTAAATTATAATTCTTATATTATTGTTTATTTATTAGGTCAGCAGTCACTACCTGTGTACAGTGTATAATTTCACGTATTACGTCATGTCCCTGCCACGAATGATCCAAATTGGTACCATGTCAAATTGTTTATATAAAGAGTCATGTCCCTGCCACGAATGATCCAAATTGGTACCATGTCAAATTGTTTATATAAAGAGTTGTACGTCCTTCTAGCATCCTCATGATTGCTTTAATATTTTCCTAGTAATTCAAAATCATTTTTTTCTTATAATATGATAATGATAGTTTGAATAAGGGAACTTTTGCATATTCTTTTATCCTTTTACCAGTGCCAAATTACTGAATTAGCCCTAAAAGTATTCTTATTCTAGAACAAAATTAATTTTCATTCATTACATTTTCCTTATTAAATTATTCGCTAAAAAAGTTCTTGGAAATTTTATTTAACGAAAGTCATTTCATATCAAAATGTCATCACTTCAAGTTATTATGGTTGGTTGTCCAATTTAACTAATTTAAATTTAGCTAATGCTTTGTATGACGCAATTTGCCACAATCTATAGCTCCATATAAAAGACTAGAGTTCAGATCCCTTATGATTGCCTTAAAGATTTCCACCAGAACATAAAATCTATGGAGAGCCAATGGCTTCCTTTGGAGCTGTTTGTATGCTTTCACATTGACTAATAGTTAATTGAGAAATGGTATAAGTACATAATATTGTATATAGAAGTGTACATACACTCACATTAGGTGGGTCATACCAAAAAAATAAAAATCAAGTAGACCCCACTCCATGTGAGTGTTCTGTACACCTATATATACATTTATTATGTACTTGCTAGTTAATTAAATTGGTTAATTAAATTGGTTAATAATCGATTGGGTTGGTACTTGCTAGATTTAATTAGTTTATTATAAAAAAAAGTGTTTGGTGATTGATATGCCAAGTTGAAGTTTGAACCCGAACGGACCTGATGAGTATTTCGACCGTCCGAATGAAATTGATGACTTGCAACATCAGGGTCTAGAGATGTTTTTGGCATGAACATTCTGACGTTCAAATCAGTTTTTCAGATCTGGAGGAATGGTAATTAATTATTTGAATGTTCAGAAAGAGAAGAAGTCTATAGTCATACTTTCTCTTTTTTTTTTTTTATATATATATATAGGATGATTACTTTGTTGCCCAAAAATCCTTGTTGTCCAAGATTTGTTCATATTTGATCGAGTTCATATATGATCATCTTTTCTTTAGTTCTTTTCCCGCATTTTGAGATCCATAAATCTTACAGGTCATCAGTTCGCAGGTAATCAAATTGTCTTCAGTTCTCAACTTGAACCTTTAAGTCTAAGTAGGATCGAGATGGTCAACTTGCGCCATCGAGCTGGGTAGCTCAATCACCTCCAATCTCCTGAATTTGGTCCAACCAAGCTAAGACTGTATTGGACCTGGACAGACCTGAATTGTTCGACCTCTGCACTTCGCTCGCTCAAGAGATGATGAACCCGGTTCAGATGAGCTTCCAACAAAAGAAGTTTATAGATGTTGTATTTAATGTATCTACACACTAAAATTATGGTTTGAAGTTTATTAGTTATTATTGTATGCATGATATTTATTATGACATATATAAATAGAAGCCCAGATGAAATAGACAAATATTAATTCAAGGTACGCTTGAACTAATATATATGTACTAAAATCATTCATATAGGTTGTACTTCACTTTTTTTTTTTAATTTTTAAATTTAAATGTCATATGTTAAAATATAATATAGCCAAATTATAATATTGATCAAGATTGGTAAGTCCATTGATCCGCACAGTTGTCTAAAATTCAATAATTATTTCAACCTCTACTTTGTGGAGTGGAACTCCAAGTTAAGGAGTTACTTGAAATCCTGCTAAAATATCACTTATGTTTTAGGTCTCATACTCAAGAGTATAATAAAGTCAATTTGTACTCTATATAACACCAAATTTGAATCCAATAAAGTTTAAGTTTGTGTTTGTGGTGACATAAAAGCCCTCCTAGCTACACTCTACTATAGGTATACATTTTTTCATAAAGAAAATATATACATTAATTTCTTGTTATTGTGGTGCTAAAAAACACATCATAAAATTGATATTCAATCAAAAGCCATTGTAACACCCCCAACATTTCATCACTTTGCGTTTTTTCGGTTGGCCATCAAGTTTGACTAACCTAAAATTTAGCATACTGGCACATTTTCTCAGTATTAATGTACAGTATTTTAATTCCTTTTTTTTTTTAAAAAAAAAAAATAAAAGCAAATTTATGTCATCATTGTGATATCTAATTGTACTCCACCCCTCTAATTCTTGTTTCCCATGTTTTGGAGAGTTCATATGATCCACTTATTTCTGGTTTGTTTTCAATTTGATAATCATTTAGTAATAACAGTAATGATCAAATGTATGTGCATGTAACACCTGCACAAATATGAATGAGTAATCATTTTGATGAGTAATGTATATAGAGATTTACATAACACTCACATTGAGTGAGTTCTACTAAAAATAAAAAATTAAGTGGACCCCACTCCATGTGAGTGTTACGTAATGTACACTTCTATGTACATTTATTATGTACTTGGAACATTTTTTCATTTTAAAATCAACAGCTCATAGTCTCACACACCAATTATGCGAAACCTAATATCAAAGTATTATATGTTAAGGCAGCATTATTAATAATATAAGAACAATTAAATTAATTTTTAGTTCAGATAAATTCTACTATCTATTATCTAGAGATCTGAGCAGTTATACAATATTTTGATTTTGGTATTTTTATATAATATCAATTTTAGCTATTATATTTTATTTTGTATTTATACACAATCTGGAAAGTATTCATTCTTCTAAAAATTATATTTTTCCACTTTTTATCTTTATTTTTATATTAGATTAAAGTTTTTTCTTAAGAAAAAAGTTTATATTCATTTGCTAAATGTCCAATCTATTTAATTCTTCGAATATGTGAAAATTTTGAAACCAAAGAACCATTCTCATGGCACAAGCTCAATCATGCATAAAAGAATAAGGAAGAATTAATCTCTTTGTTGAACACCAAGAATCCATCAAGTGAATTTATGGCCATAAGTCCCATGTTGTGGCCAATACTGTTACATTGGTCAATCTCAAGTATAAATCAATCATGGTTGTTCCCAATAATTGAAGAATATTTATTTAGATGAGGTTTATAAAATAAAATTAGCCTATTCACCTATAAATTCCATTTTCCATTTTATTTATATTGATGAAGTTCTTTTTAGTTGCAAATATTCTAACATTTATTGCTTATTGTTTATGAATGGTTAATTCATGTTTTCTTTTTGTCATTGATTTTTAAATTACATTATTTTTTAATTTATAACTCGTCGTTTATGAATTTTTTCAAAAGACATAGCAAACATGTTAAAAGAGCCAATGATGATAGTATATAGTTCATATTACAAACTCATATAGAATATCATGACTTAAGGGAATGATCAAACAAGCCAAGAATAATGCAATGATAAAAAGTAAAGGCAAGTGATCAACCAACATTTTAACATCCTTTATACATTGTTCAAACTGTATTTTTTATCATGTATTGTCTACACATTGTTCTTTTTTACCTACAAGGGCACATCAACAGGGTAATCTTGCTTGTTTTTCACAACAAATTCCCTAAGCCATTTCTCTTGCTCGCGTAAATTCGACGGCACACGATCATAAACGTCCGTAAACAATTCCTCGAGCGAAGGTTTCTCGGTTTTACCCGCCTCGTGAATCGCGCTCAACACCTA